TGGTAAGGCTGTTTGTTTACAATTTATATCTGCTGTGCTGGACCAGGTACAAACTTATTATTTGGGATGATTGAGTTCTCACAGACTCCAGAACGCCACCTATCCTGTAATTCTACACTCGTATTTGTCCATTTTGTTGGTCAGTTCAAACAATAACACAAGGTTGTAACGAATCAGCATAGTCTTGAGGTAAAGGGTCAAAGGTCAGGCCTTAATGTGACCTCTGACACATAATTAAATTGCCATCTTTAACCTCAGTTACAACCTGTCACAGAGCATTGGATTACATGCTGCAAATCACTCCTCCAATCAATGCCAGGGGCGAGGGCAGAGTGTGCGGGGGGGGGCTGCCGTGGGTCTGTGCAGAGATTATTTTTAATGAAGTTGAACTGTACAGTGATCATGTTAGCGTAAAGCCTGATTAGATTCTGAACGACGTCCTACAAAAACACACACTCATCCTCACAGGGAAGAGACGGACGCAGATAAGAGCTACTCGCAGAGTCAAGTCACATGACTTCCACTTCAGCTTTTAGTCATGCCAATATATATTTACAATAAGACACTCCTAAATGAATGCCAAATTGACATGAATGATTGAAATATCTGACTCTTTGTCTGATAAATACTCCTCTATGTTCACCAGCTAGTGACTAAAGGTGTCTGTTTGCAGATGCCTAAAACAATGCTGTGATAAGTGAGATTGAGACGGTAGAAGCCAGCTAAACAATGAGCTAAAACTCATTTGTAAGTGTTAGTCCCATTGTATGCCACTTTAAAATTTTACTTTACTGACAGCTTCAATGTATGTCTTATATTCAGAACCCATTCAATTTGTTGCTTGGTTACAGATTAAACAAGTAATTTTGATAGTAAAATAAGCTCAATTTTGAACAGCAATATAATAATCCTATTTTTATTTTTTTTTTTTTATTAAATCACATATTTTAAAAAATGTTGAGAGATGCATTGACCACAGAAGACCTTAGACAATACACTCAAGGTCAAAACTCAGTATAAAAGTGGTGAAAAATTAAACAAAGGAAAAGGAGTTTTATTATTTCTTGATCAGACACTGGGATGAAAATGATTAAAGTGTAGTGAAAATAAACAGTTTCTAAATTCCCTGGGAACCTGTCTCCTGTCTTCACTCCTATTGTGTACCGAGAAAAGAGTAGCCTATCATCCGCCAAAAAAATGCGAAAAAAGGACTCTCAGTAACAACTAACAAACTAGTTTTAAGTACAAATTGATTCAAATTCATATTCCGGAGAGACTGAAACCATAAACTCTAACTCAGGAAATATAGTCTCCAAGCGGTGCCTTGTTTTCACTTGTGCACAGATTAGCCGCAGCTCTCTGTGAGAAGGAGATTTATTGTGATGTGCAGGTTCAGGGAAGCCATGTTTTGATTTATTAATGGCGTTTACCAGCTAGCAGGGTTACCTGGGACCTGTGGTCAGAAGGTGAGGTTAAAGGGCTGTGTTATGTCTCACACAGCAGTATTCCCCGACAACCTGAGGATGATGGAGAGGGTTTAGGAAGAAGCAATAGTGTTTTTACCTCGCAGCTGCAAAATATATATTTTTGCAGCACTAAATTGAACTGGTGCCGTCCTCACACAGGCACAGATTCCACACCAAAACTGCAGCTGCTGAAAAAAATGTGTCCCCAAACTCAAATGATCCTGAATGAGTATGCTGATTATGATTTAGGGTCTGCTAGTTTTGTTTCAAACTGCGCCTTGCTTTGTGTCCGGGGGCCCTGTGTTGTTTAAAGGGTTGTCGGGGTATAAATACTAAATTAATCATGCTTTGGCTCAACTTGCTAGGGACTGAAATTTGCTTATGGAGGCCCATGATCGCATAAAATATTAATGGCTTTACAGAGAACTGGCATTGTAGCAATGGGGGCAAGGCGTGTGAAAGCGTAGAGCGCAGTGTGAGGGAGGGGTCGCTGTTGATTTAAGATCAAAAACACCTTCCTCAAATTGTGTCTTTAATTAAATGGATACGAGAAGTACAGCAACTGACCAAAACATTGACTATTGTCCATCCATTAGAATTCATTTGGTACGTATTATTCTACAAAATTGGTTAAGTGGTAATTGGTAATAATTGGCATTCAGCAATGTTTTCGTGTTGTGAAAAAGCAAGGATGATATTCAAATGACTCTGAAAAAACAAACATAGGAGGTGTTTAATGTTATGCATTTTCCTAGTTGTTGCATATCCATATGACCGACTTCTGGAGCCCCCGGGGCTTCTGAAAGAAACTACAATCGTTTTCACTGACAGACGGCAAATCTCCACGCAAACAAAAGTGAGACTTTGAACAAACAAATCCTTTTCTTCCCCCAGTGAAACATACTTTCAATTTCATCTGCCAAAGCTATATAGAGAGGGGGGGGGGAGAAAAGCAATATTACATCTCATTCCAAAATATCATGCAATTTGTCTCCTTGACACAAATCAGAAAGTAAAGATTTATTTAATGAATGACAGGGTTTCTGTAAACTTGTTAGGCCATATTTTGTGAGCTCACACCGAGCAGATAAACATCCTCTGCCCACTGAGACACAAAGGGAGGCCGGCAGAGGATCACACCACCACTGAAGTGCCTTGAGACGACATGGGGTCCTACATTTTCTGTAACACATTTATTTGTGTAGCTGTTCCACAAAGTGCTCCTGAACATTCGCAGGAAACATGGTTACTGTCAATCAAAGCGGTGAAAATGGCCCATAAAAAGCTACAGGTTCGTGATACAACTTCACAAGTGTGCAGGTAAAACTGAAACAGCTGGTTTGATCTGCTTGTGTGAGTTTGGGGGCACTGCAGTGGGTAAATGAGGGGACAGGAGGGGGCATTTAACACTCCCATACTGAGAGACGGAGGGGTTAGGGGGGGTATGTCTGGTGGTGGCGCAGGGGAAAAGGGCTTAAATGATAAACAGCAAATATTCTAGAGCAAATCTGATTGCTCACAATTATCTCTGCAAGCCTGACAGGCACCAGGGGGGGGGGGAACACCGAACTGGTGGACACTGATTGGGTTATTTGTCCCCTTTTATTCAGGTCTGAGGGATTGTGGGAGCTGTTCTGTGGAGAGCCTCTCTGCAGGTGCACGCTACCAACTCCTTACAAGAAGCCACATCCTTTTTACCTAAACACCACAACTTAAATTCACTTTAAGTTGGAAGAAAGCAAAAGGTGCCTAGCTTCTGAGTAATTTGAGCCCATGTTTGGCTGACAGGCTGCAACAGCTCTAAATGAGAGACAGGCATTTTACACAAAAGACATTTTGAAACATGTATTCCATTCGTCTGCTCAGTTTTAGTGAGTGACTCACTGTCAGGGCTTACTGGGACACTTGAAATTACACCTGTGCCTTTCATACAAGTCACAGTGCCTGGAGGAGAGAAGACTAATGACTTACAAGAGTTTCTGAATTTAAGTGAGTAGAAGAAGGCTTTAAAACCCCACACAGATCAGACCACTCAGTGATCGCTCACAGGCTACAGATTTGGGCTGGATGGTATAGATGGGCAAGATGTCCATGTATGGAGACTTCATATTTTTAAATGAGCCTTTCTGAGGATTCAAATACAATGCACTGACAGGATCCATTTACCTAGTGCTTATCATGGATGTATGGTGCTGCTTATTTACACTGAAAGCTTTGGTTAATGTCAGGCGTCCATGCTTGTTTTGTTTCAAGCAGTTAGTGACAACCAGATATATTTCAGAGGTTTAAAAAAATAGCTTGGACGTTGACATTAATGGTATTTATAAGTTGTTGTTTATCTCACATCTTAGGGATCGACCGATATAGCTTTTTCAAGATCGATACCGATTATTAGTAATCAAGGAGACCGATAACCGATATTTGGAACCGATATACATTTGCAGTAAAATCAGAAAATCTTGGTGTCAAAATGTAGAATAACACAAACTCCAACACAACCTCTTTGAAATGCATTTAAGCGTATATTATGTTTAATTAACTTTTAAACATCTTACAACTGGTTTCCTCTCTGTGCCCTTTTCTTTAAATGCAGCCATCTGCAATGAGTTAGAGAGACAGAGTTAAAAGTGGGGCTGCAGACTGACATGCTTAAGTAACAATAATGCTTAATTTATTGTATCAAAACAATGTCTGTCTATCTAGCATACAATCCCAATAAACTGCTAGCAACTGCAAAACACTAGTGCTAGCTAATGTTTTTCAAAATATTAAAAGTGAGGCTATTACAGTAGACCTAACGTTAGTCTAGTAGCCTCACTTCTAATATTTTGCTAAACATTTGCTAGATACATGTTGGCTAGCTAATGAGCTTCACATATCAACCTGAAAAACTGCGAGGCTCCACTCGCAGCCAACAGCCCCCCCCCACACACACCAGTTACTCCGCTGGAGACGCTGCATGCACCCCCAACTCTGACTGACTTCCCGCGTCCCTGTGTAACTGATAGAATTGGATCATAAAATCGTGGTGTTTTTGCAACTTCAGCATAAGGGATTGGGATGCTTATTGAATTTCGGTTTAACACATGTATGGCTCTGCCGCTCAGAGCTGCTGCAGTCTGTGTCTGCACCTGACTGTAATCTGAGAAGGTCCCGCCTCTCTGGCTGGCTCCCACCCGGAAAATCGTCAGTGTTGATTGACACTTCAGTAATAGCCTATCAGATAGCGCTGTGGGCGGGACATTGCTCGTGTACACTGACTGACTGGTGACTGCTGCCAGAGAAACGGCCGCATCAGAGCCAAAGTTTTATCGGCAATTTGATCAAATAAGGCCGATACCGATAATCAGTCAAATGCGGAATATCCTACCGTTTATTTAATTCCCTGATTTTTTCCACAGGGATCAATATGTTATCACGTGTGTACCCCATAGATGTTCTACTTTGTGTAATGTAAAAAAGGGCAAAATTATTTGTGTTGCTTTTCATTTTACAAGATGTAAAATGGCATAAAAATATTCACAAAAAAAAAGAAAAATGCCAGAAACATTTATCAACGTTTCATTAGAAAACAGGTAGGCCTATTTTAATACATCAGCTGCATGTAAGACAATGCTTTGACAGTAATACAAATTAATGTTGTAAAATGGTGAAGCCTCTTGGAGACAAGTGTTGTATCTGGATACTGTAGACAGCTCCTGCAACAAAAACAAAAACGCTCTTAGTTATTTTTGTATATTCAAGTCTGTGCAAATGTGTGTGATGCTTAGCAATAAATACAGAGGAAATGTAAACATTTTGCAAAAATATACTCTTAAAATGTCATGTCTTTACCTTCTTATGAAAATCAGTGCGATACATAAGCTTACCTTACCCATCCAAAAAAGAAAGAGGAAAAAGTTGTAGAAGTAGGAATTTTTTAGGAAGTTTGCTCTTTAGGGGAATAGGAAGTTTTTTTGTTTTTTGAAATGGTCTTTTTCCGCTCTTTAGTTTTTTTTTCACTGCCAGAGCATTTAGATTGTTTTTTTGTTTTTTTTGGCAGGATGTTTTCAGACCATTTCAATTCTTTATTTTTTGTACAATTCAAAGAAAAGCCAAAAACTGAGAAGCCAAGCTTTCATACAAATCATTTAAACCAGGGCATAAAATATTTACACATGAGAATTCAAACCAGTCAACCTAATACTATTCTGCAAAAGCTACAGTCAATCAATTACAACAAGGTGTTTGCCTACGCTGAGTTCAACAAAGGTGTCTCAAGGTGATAAGCTATCAAATGTCCTGACAAAGTATTTGTTCGGTTAACTGAAAACAACAACAAATTCTATATTAAGAGCATTAAAAAAAAAAAATCAACATTGTTGCATCTGGTATACACGTTAAAATGAATCAAACTTGCACATGGTTCTGCTGCCAGTTACACATTTGTGAGGAGGAAAACAAAGTCTAGCCAAAGTAAAAATGTGCCTGGTCGTTTTATGACCAGGCATTTAATAAAGTTGCTGGATTGCCGCTCGTCCTTCACACCAGGCGCGTCGGTCTGATCTTCATCTGCGCCAGGAGCGAGGCTCGTTGTCGTCCTCTTCCTCATCATCATCCTGCAGCAGTGCATCATCACTCAGAGACTCTTCCGGGTACTGTTGGGAGAAAATAAACACTGAGATTAATGCGCTCTACAGATGATTAAAAAGTGAAGGAAAGGAAATGTTCAAAGTGGAAAGACCTTTTATTTTATCAGCACTTCACTCGCACCATGTATTTAAGGGTGCATTCACACCTAATAGTCCGTTTTTTTACTCAAACGGACTATAAACTTTAAACACAAGTTATGTGCACGGAAATACTGTTCAACCATTGGTCAGACATTAAGGGGGTAAAAACGCAAATCCCGGCAATTTCTACCGGAGCCTCCGCCATGGAGCATCGGCACTTTCGGCAGGTTATTCTCATGCCGCGCATATGATTATATAATCCGACAACGTCCGTTAAAAAACATTATAACACATATAATGAGACGTTCTGCAGTCAGGAGGGGCGTTTCACCGACGACAGGTGTTCTTACTTTTATGTAGCTGACGGAGAATTTTTACTTTACACGACAATGTTCAACACTTAATTCTGCTTCATCCTTTAACTAAACAACCGCGGATGTCTTGAAAGACTCGTTAAAGATTTTGAAGATATCCGCGTTCTGGTGACACGTAAATACTGCGCTTCCTATGTTTTGGTGCGGACTGCGTTCACACCAGCAATGAACCGCTCCAGAGTTCGCAAGCAAGCGCTCCGAGACCACCTATTTTTCACTTAAGAGGTCTCGGATTGTGTTCACACCGACCCAAATGAGCCGCACCAAGCGGCTAAACGCACCAGGGTTCGATTCAACCGGACTATACAAGGCAGGTGTGAACGCACCCTAAAAAGCCTGAAGAGGGACTAAAGTCTCAGCCTGGGATTCTCATGCTGCAGTCAGACCAGCAGCTTAATGAGAGCTGCAGAGAGAGGCCACGCGAAAGCCACATAAAGACAATTCCTTGCTGTAATGGCTCCCTCTAGTGTTCTCAAAATATAACACCACAAAAATATACTTCGCGCTGAGAGAAATAAGACAGATCCTGGCCGTGCCTCTCCATTTTTATCATCTTTACAGCAAACCTTACGCAGAACCAACAGTCCCACTTCAGCTACCATAGGTGCTATAAAGGGAAAATTACATATATGCACATGAGAAGACAAACCTCATCATCCTCTTGTTCTGCCTCATCAGCGTGAGCAGCACTGAGAGTCTTCACGGCCTTGTGCCAGGCCAGGCGTAAAGTCTGGTTGTTGAACCTCACTCCATGAAGAGCCGCCTACAGAGCGCACAAGAAGACAGGCGGTTACTGGAAGTAAAGATCATAAAGTGTAAGAGATTTGAATATAAACAACGGGTTTAACCTGAGCACCAAGTATATTTTGGTGATCATAGTGAGATAGATATAATAAAAAATATCAAGAAATGAAGGAACCAAAGGATATTTCCGACTCACCTGTTCTGCCTCGCCTCTTGTCCTGTAAGAGATGACTGCAGACAGCGTGTTTTCATCTATGTGGCAATCTTCGATCTCTCCAAATTGCTTCAAAAGTGTAAACAAACAAGGTTTTGGTCACAAACTCATTCATGTACAATGATTGATACATCATCTTATGCATCTTCTTTGCAATTCACAACACATCTTAGGAGTTAAGTATATTTTTGCTAAAACTTGCTTTAAATACTGCAGCCCCTGTATTTCAATCTTAGTGTTGATTTATAATTGGTGGTGGTTTCTCAGCTGTTAAAATAAGCATGAGAAACAGTGTCTATATTTTCCATGTCATGATAGCTGAGTGTTTCTGGCGCTGGTACTGTGTAGCTTATCAATGTATCTTTATTTGTTTTAACTGTTTCCGCTTGGTATTTGTCTCTACTGGTAAAGTAGTGAATAAGCTTGTGAAAGTGAGATAGTCCTTACTATATGCACCACACCAGTTCATTTGTATAAAGACAGAATGAACAGTAAGTGTGTGTTGATGCACTGCTGGAGTCAGCTGCACTCTGAAGGTCTAACCACCAGAGGGCACTGTTGACTATTTTCACTTATATACAAATACACATGGATTTATAGTAAAACTCTATGACCTTTCCAATAACATAGTTAGTCTTTTGTTTTTTTCGCATCAGAAAGCATTAATCCAAAGTAAGGCGCTTAATTATCCCCCCACCCCCCCAACCACAGCTTCCATCAAAAAGGTGTTATAAGTTGACTTACAGCAAAGTGTGGCAGCAGGTCGACATGGTCTGCCTCGGTGAAACCACAAATCTCAAGCGCCCGTGGCCGGTAGTCCACGACTGCGTGCACGCCTCTTCCCCGTCCCCTGGAGCCCCTCCCCCGGGCCCTGAGAGCGCCGCGGCCCCGGGTGAGGACCCCCCGGCCTCGTCCTGGTGACAGGATGCCCCGTCTAGCCGCCTGGGTCAGAAACGCAAAACAGGGAATTTGAGTTCTTGTGATGGGACTCAACAGAGAGGACAGTTTGCTCTTTTAAAATTGAGTCAATACCTCAATTTGAAGCTGGGTGTACTTGATCTTCAGCAGAGCAGTGTCCTGTCCCGTCTGGGTCTTATTGTACAAGTCCAACTCTGTGTCCAGCAGCTCCTTCTGTGCCTGAACAAATTAAAAAGTCACATCAGGAAAGACGGCATTGCAAGTCTAAAGTAATAAGTCAAAGGCAACTGGATAAACTGATAACCCTGTGTCCTGGGACTAGGCGCTATCAGAGAATAGCATTGAGCCTTTCTATATCTCAAAGTAGAAAGAAACTGGTTAAAACAACATTTAGAAAAAACACCAAATCACCTGGGCTCTGCTCTTGGCTGTGCGCAGCGGGTTGTTGCTGCTCGAGATTCCTTTTATCTCCTCTTGCAGTTTGGTGATCCTCTTGGTTATCATGCCCAACGTTTCCATGATCTTGGCTCTATCCTCTGCCTTTATTGCTTTGTTCTTCTCCACTTTGGAAATCAGGAGCTGCAGAGGAGCGGAGCAGAGACACAGAATGAGAAGTTTCATTTTTGTATTTGCTGTTTACACTAGTGATGGCGAGATGAAGCCTTATGAAGCTTTGAAGCAACTGGTTCGCAAAAGGGTTCATCTCATGAGGCTTCATCATGGGCTTCATCTGAACACAAACCTCCTGTTGGTCAAAGTGTGTAAAACAGGCAGATTGGACATCTCAACAATGTGCTCTATCTCAGACCGAGTTCCCAATGAGTAAAGCCTTAGAATAACTCTAAACTCAACTCAACTTTATTTATAAAGCCCTTTTCAAAACAGCCGGAGCTGAAACAAAGTGCTGTACACGCCATAAAAAACAAAAACAAAACAACAATAAATAACAATATAAAAACAACAAAACCAATGAAGCATATAAAAACAAACAGAAACAGAGTCTCATGCTGGGTTAAAAGCCAAGGAATAAAAATGGGTTTTTAGGCGAGTTTTAAAAATGGACAGTGAAGGGGCTTGTCTAATGGTCAATGGGAGGCCATTCCACAGTTTGGGACCGGCAGCGGAAAAGGCTCTATCCCCTCTGAGCTTCCGTTTAGACCTCGGTACCTCCAGGAGCAGCTNCAAAACCGGGTCACTGAGTAGCTACTGTTTTCGCTTCGGGAGCGACGGACAGCTATGGTACACTAGACGAAGTCCTTCGCTAGTCTAGCAAACTTGGCAACTTGGTGTTGCAGTATTATGGTACCCACTGTATTATTCTTGGTATAATGGGGAGGACATGGGCCCAGGCGAGCAGCCTGTGCTACCTTAATTTCTCTCGAGTTCTGGGAATGAATATATCTCCACAGTATTACATTTTTTATTTATTTATGTTCGAATTTATTTACCTTATTTTTTGTACTATTTATAACAAGTCACAAAGTCCCTCTAAATCACATCGATACATGCTTCACAAAAAGCTTCGGGGATTACTCGACACATGCTCCGAAGCCTCGGCGCAATACGTTACATCACTAGTTTATACCACAGTACGTGGACTATTTAAAAACAACATGAGTCAAAGGATGGAAGATAGTGTAAGATGTAATAAAACGGGATTTTTTTTCTTTGTATTTGTTCTTCATTAACCACTTTGACAAAGCTCACAAGATCCCTTACAAAGGTGTCAAACATTGTAGGTACATCTACACAAACAGACCAAATTGCATGAGCTCATGTATTTAAAAGGTCCCATGTCATGGCCATTTCCACTGATCATAATTCCATTGTTGAGGTCTACTACGAATAGATTTATATTGTGCAATTTTCCAAAAACACATTGGTTTCTCATACAGCATCTCTGTAAACTATGTGAATTCACTGAATTTCACTCAGCGTTTAACGGCTCGTTGTAACTCCAATAGCTCCAGCCCCCACCCTCCCTGTGAGCACAGTGTGCTCTGATTGGTTGGGACGTTGTGAATCGCGCTGAGCTCCGTGGAGGTGTTGTTTCCTTGTTTAGCGATACACAGCGAAACACAGCCAAACTCACCCTGAGCACACACAAAGTCACAGCCGAAGTAAAAACAATAAGTGTGGCTTGATATTGAGTAAGAAAAAGGTTGATAAACGCTGTGAGAATGGGTCTGCAGAGAGAATTTTGCCGCGATCCCAACTGTCTGTTATCAGCCTGCAGCCAGGGAGGACAGATCAGCAGAGCTGCCTGCACTGAGTGAGTGTGTGAGGAAGTCCGTGGATTGGTCAATTTGGACCAATCAGCGGGGGCTTCACGTAACGGCTCCGCGGACGTAACGTAACGGCTCCACGGATTGGTCCATTTCATGCGGTACCCGGAAGAATCAATGGACAGTGACGTATTTCCAACGAGGCGTTTTGGGGAGGTATTTTCTGTGTTAGAGTTTTACTCGCTACAGGGTGTACTTTGAGGGTTTTGACTCTGCAGACCGTTTACATGCAGAAAAACCTTCATAACACACAAGGGGACGGGTAATCACCGGAAAGGCATGACATGGGAGCTTTAAGTGACTTCTCTTGAACAGCTCTCAGTAACATTTCATTTGTTTACAATGAGGTTGCAGAATGTAAATTGTAGATGTGATATCCTGTATGTAGATAAAGATGAAGATCTTACCTTCTGTGTCTCAATGTGTTTCTCCAGTATTTCGTGCTTCTTCTTCCGTACATCCTGCTGTAGTCTTAGAGCTTCCTGTGAAGATAATAAAAAAGGTACATTATTCCTTTTCATTTATTTGAGAGTCCAACTGTGTTCTATAATGGCCTTTCTTTTCAACCTCCCTTCTCCCACCATTCTCATGCTCACCTGTTTCTTCTTCAGGGCTTCCTCTGAGTTTTTCTGTGCCGCCTTCAGGGCAGCAGGATTGTATACCGTCTTTGTGAGCCCCAAAGATGTGGAAAACACCTAAAAAAGGGGGGTGGGGGAATGTCAGCATTTATCATTTTCACAATTTGAAAGAGAATGGGAGAAGTTCAAAAAGAATACGACTCACTTTCTCCGCAGGAGCTGCTGGTTGGGCAGAGAAACCCAGGCGGTCTTTCACTGACATCTTAGAGGAATTCTGCAGCAATGGGAACAAATATGGAATGTTAACACACCCTTTGCAGATTTTGACAAGCATATGAGAAAAACCTCACCATCGCGCACACACACCTGAGAGGCTACGCTGGAGTCTTGGGAGGGCTCAGAGTTGAGCATGGGGCCGAGGCGATCTTTGACGGACTGCTTAAGAGACGTGGCCGAGGGCTGCTGGGTGACAAAGGATATGTTCACCACATCATGTCTACATAATGCATTTCAACATAGTCTTTGTCAGATTAAATGTCTTACATTTAATCTTGCAGTTGTCTTAAGGTGAATCTTTAACATCTAATTTTTATGCTGATTTTCTCCTTATCCTAAAGTGCCTCACAACGGTCAGTAAAAGAAGCTCTCTGTATTATTACATATCATTTTGTATTCACATTGGGTGTGGAGGTAGCACTGACATTAATGCAACAAGTATTTTCAAAATAGAACAAATGGGAAAGCCTAGAGAGAATAATGCTCTGGCATTTCATTGATATACAAATACACAACAACCAGAAGATTAACAGCGTAAGTCCTGCAAGGAGTCCTTTGATCGTAACACTAACAAGCGTCAACATCGACAACATGATTAACACGTTTTATAACTGCCCTATTTTCGTGGCGGCACATGTTTTCGAAACTAGTGCATCCCATTTCAACGTGTTTATTCTTACTTAAGAACTTAACGAAGGAATGTGCTGTAAATGTTTTGGGTTGGTGTTAAGCTTGGACAACCACACGGTAACATGGTAGAACCTTTACCATGGCTGGTTGTGGTTGAGGCTGCTGATGGGGGTGAGACAGGCCATCACCCCCCTCCTCTCGATACCAGTGCACCCTGATGAAGCGGTTGTTGAGGACCGCCTCTGGGCTTTGCATAGCGCGCTTAGCCTCGTCTGGAGAGGCAAACTGGATCAGAGCGCCCTCCGGGTCATTCTGGAAGGCCACCTGTCAAACAAGCATGGTACTGTGAGACATTTCTAGTAACGCTGGGTGGGTCACACATACTGTCAATCCTGTTAATGCTCAATGGGTAATCAGATCACCTTATTAACCCAAATGTAACAGTAAATGTGTGCACTAAACCCTGGAATATCCTTCAGTTTCAAGACTTTCCAAAAGGTATTTGACCTTAAGTTTCTTCTGTAATTTTAGCTGGCTTCAGACCAACTGTTGCTAATTGTATTACTTAGTTAAGATTAATCAATTGCTTAAACAGCCTTATTTGGAACACATGTTGAATATAACAAACTTAATTAAACAAAAACCATTACTCAAACTTAAAAATCATAAATATCCTTCCTCTGTGTCAAACTTTCTACTGATATCGTTTTAAAAACACTTGAATTTTCTGATACCAGATTCACACACACACACTGTTCGTATATTAGTGACCTAATGTACTGCATCACAGGTTGCACTACACAGTAACTACATATTTTTCCAATATACTGACCTATAATTGATTGACTAGTAACAATCATAGCTGCATTCTCATAAAGACAGAACAACACAGGGACTGACCTGTAGGTTGACAATGGTGCCGAACTTGCTGAAATGTTCATTGAGTTTGCTGATGTTGTTGAGCTCCGAAGGAATTTGTCGAACCAGCAGCTTGGCGTTGGCAGAGAATGGGACTCTGTTGTGATAACCCTGGTGGTTGGGTTGGTTAAAGTTGGGTCTGAAGCGAGAAGAGAGGAGTTAAACAATTCAAAGTGAAAGGTGCATTACTGCTGGGTTTAAAAGGCAGCATACAGCATTCGTTTTTTATACGACCGGAAATGGGTCTCTTACTTGTCAAACCAAGGTTTCTTGGGGGGGAGGCCTCCATCGTGGGAGAGAGGCGGTCTCTTCCTCGCATTAGACTCCATAACGACCCTCATGTTGTTCGGGATCTTGTCTGGGGAGAGACAAAACAACAACAGGTCAGATTTCAGTCCACATAATGCAAAACACTGGTAATATTCAAAGTGGAGTCTTTTCATAGGAAATGACAGGGAATGATGGGAATAAAATAGAAAAGTAGACCTAATAGGCTGAGGCTGTATATGGAGACAAAACTGTGATGGAGGATAGTCTATGAAAACATGCATGTTATCCTGATTGGAAAACATGGGGTCTTCAGCTTTAAGAGTATGTAAACCAACTGTATGCTGGCTTAACTATGTATTACCAATAATTATTTTTATTTAGAGACCTTTGCAACCCCAAGCACATTATTCAAAAAGAGATCTACACTGAAAAGCAAGCCTTTTAAAAAAGAGTCAAAACACAGCAACAGATCATCACATCGGAAAGCCTGACAATGGTATGACAGACAGTACATTGATGTTTAAAGACAATCTATGCAGAGCTCAAATGGTCCAGTTCATGTTGAACAATACCTCTGGGTGGATTGTCCACCTCCCCCATTGTGAGGCCAATCAGGTTGGGTCTCTGTGCGTTGACCCGATGGCGGTACATCGGCCTGGAGGTATTGGTGATGCTGGGAGCCTCAGGGTTGTACACATCCGTTTCAGGGTTGTACACATCCGTTTCATAGTTGTCTGTTCAGCAGGGATAATATACATTAACTCACTTTAGATATAGGTATAGCAAAAGCAATTTGTAAAAACAAAATCACATGTTTTACTTGAAAAAGCAACACAACTATTACCAGGAAGGAAGAGTGGCAGGGCGGCCTGGGGGAGTGAGGAGCGCATCCCAGAAGTGACGATGGTGGGCACAGAGCTGGTCATTGAGTTGGGAGGAGCATCCATGCCCGACGGTTGCAGAGGAGGAAGAGGAGGAGGTGGACCTGTATCAGACAGATTTAAACTAAATGTTATAGAATGACAAATTAAAGCAGAACCCAAACTGGTGAAACTATATTCGTGAATCTAACCTGTTCTTAACATGTCATAACTAACTGTTGACCCGGTAGGTAACTTCTGTTCTTTTTTCTCCTGTTCACTCCTAGCTACAGCAATAGCCAATTAATCAACATTTAATATTAATCATATGAATTAATATATTCTCATAATATAAAGATAATAATTATTGAACCTTGTGTAAATTGAGTAAAAGTTTGGGCCTTTTATTATAATCTTAGTCAATTAAAGGTGGGGTAGGTAATTTTGGGAAAAACCACCTCGAGTGCGCTAGAATTTGAAAATACACAGCCGGAAGAAATCTGCCATTTCCTTACAGAGCCCCTCCTCCAACACACACGAACGCGCACGTGACCAATGAGGGCACGAGATAAGTTTGTGCACAGATGGAAGGCTGACAGGCAGGTAGGCCATCCAGTTATTTTAGCCGGGCCGGCTCAGATGATTGGTCGTGCTTTTTACAGTACTACGGCTTCCACAGATGCAATTTTTTTTTGGATTTGTTGTCAAAGCACTTAAGATATTCATTGCTATCGGGATGTTAAGAGCATTCCATGGAATATAACAAAAAGTGTATCTCGAGCCGGTTTCTCAAACTTACCTACCCCACCTTTAACAAACACAACTTTGGAGATGAACATTGTAGTCGTGGACATCATAGTGTCACAGTTTTTGTACCTGAAATTAGGTTCTGACATTCGATGATCAAAATATTTGGGCCCTACACAATTCATAGAAATGTGTGAATCCCTACCTGCATTTGATCATCGAATGTCAGAACCTAATTTCAGGTACAAAAACTGTGACACTNCTCCGATATGTAGGTTTAAAACACAGGGCGGACTCATTGCGTAACACCACTTTCTCTAGGGGACGGAGACAGGAAGGAAGCTGTGAAATAGGCGTCTAAACTGGAGAGACAGAATATCAATGTTCTTTTTTTTGAAAGAGCCACTACAGCGTGTAAAAAGTGGAACGCAGCCTGAGGGAGAGAGACTATTTACGAAGTAACAGAATATACCAATATAGTAAAACGTCTTCAGTAAGTCTCGGAGGAAATACCGTCTAATGGGGTATTGGAGGTTCAATTTTTAACACATCAGATAACTCGGCATGTTAAGCCAGGTCAACTGCTCGAGACACTGCACACAGGGAGACACAGCTGGTTCTAAGGTGAGAGGAGGAGGGGAAGATCTGATGGCCAAGACTTTATCATTAAAAAATGAAATGAACATTTCACATAGAGTAGGTGATGGCACAACACAGGGGGGGTTACAGGGATTTAAAAGACCATTTAAGAGTGGTAAAAAGGAACTGGGGCCTATTTTCTGTTACAATACTAATATACTACAAATTAAAAGATATGTTGAGAGAAATATTCAAAATACACTTTTGTTTTTCACAGACATCCTTCACCCTTTCATGGGCCAGCTACCTTTTAGCGCGGCACCCACATATACAGCAGCAAATCTACACCGAAGTGACCACAACTCTTGGACCGGGAGCAGTTGCCACAGCAGATGATGTCTCTCGCCTGCCTCTTATCAGAGGGCTGGTCAAAGAGACACTCAGGTACACACTGTGTTGGTTTTTAATTATTAAGCTTTTTTCTTATTGTCAAAGTCTTAGGTTTTTGTTTGCTATAACTTGCAGTGAGTGAAAACAACAGAGCAATGGTTTAATAGACTTTATACATTTGGGCTTGACTTTGTTAAATACTTTCACGAGTAGATTTAATTTCCCCCCTGTGTTGCACCCCTCCCTGGGAGCAGGCTTTTTCCAGTTCTCCCTGGCAACGGACGGATTACCCAGGATGACTTGGTGGTGGGCGGATACTTCATCCCCAAAGGGGTAAGACTGAAATAAATATAATAGATGTGATTCCTCATGTGTGTATGTGCTGAAGAAAAAGCGTCACCATGAAAGTTAGCCAACAAATACATGTCGGGGGAACCAGATGTAACACGATCGAGCATTGCTCATACACCTTTCTGTTCCTCAGTCTCATACACATGCATGTACAATAGCCCAGCTGTTTCCTTACATAACTGACATTTTGTTGTCTGCTCATTTCACTAGACTCAGCTGGCCCTTTGTCACTACTCCACGTCTTTCGATGAAGAGAACTTCCACGATTCTCTAAACTTCCAGCCATCTCGCTGGATACGGAAAGATTCCACAGATCGAGTAGACAACTTTGGCTCAATTCCCTTTGGCTACGGCATCAGGAGCTGCATCGGCAAGAGAATAGCTGAGTTAGAGATGCATCTGGCTCTCACAAGGGTAGGAGAAATAAATAATTGAATATATTAACAAATTAATAAATAAATACATCTAGTTATATAAACAAATGAAATGTAGCTAGATGAGCTTCTGAGGCAAGGCAATTTTATTCATAGAGCACTATTCAGAAATATGATGTGCTTTACAGTGGCTTAAATAGATAAATCAAATCAAACACACAAGTAAGCTGCAGTAATATTATAACAATAACAACAACAAAATCACAATATTGTTGTTATCCCTGATTTAAATGAGCTGATTCAACAGACCTCGGGTATTCCGGTGTTTCACCGTAGGGATCATACACACAAAAAGCTGCAATATTTAAAAATAATGCAAACAATTAATTTATGAGGAAGCTTGACTGCTCCCAGCTGTGCTACTAACAATTTTTAAAAATACAATTGCAAATGTTCTGATTAATATCTTCTGATTGACATGTCTGTGTCTTTGCTCCTTGTACAGCTCATTCAAAAGTTCCACATCTGCGTTTCTCCTCTCACTTCTGAAGTCAAGTCCAAAACCCATGGCCTGCTCTGCCCTGCCGACCCCATCAACCTGCAGTTCATTGACAGAGAAAACTAGTCTCACACTCTACAGGGTATACTGTACTGTGTTTGAAATTATACCATTCATTTAACTTTTAAATCTTTCTCTCGTCACAGATTTTAGGTACCGAGCGAAGACTGTTTTACTTACTTCAAAATAGTGTGCCGGAGGGGAGGAAATTATTACAATCTATATACTCACACTTCCTTTCCTGCCTAAGTTAAATCACTATATCAAACACATTAGGTACACAAAAACAGTTTTTATATTTTCAAATTTAAAAATTGTAATCATAGGAATGTTTTTATTTTTAAATGAAAAGGAACTTTTCCTCTGATTCAGAATATATATAAAAGTTAGTGCAAGAGGAGACCATTTGTAAGACTGAAGTTTTAAGGATCACTGTGGTTTGTATAGAGGAAAAATAATATTTTAATAACTTTTTATTTATCTGCTCTTTTTTCTATCTCATCCATTTGTTACTTTAGCCCCAATTATACGTTTGAAAACAATAAAGATCTAAATATGATTATAAACGGTGTGTTTGTTGTGTTTGTCCAATTTCAATGTATAAGTCCAAAATACTCATAAAGTGACAGTGTGGGCAATGTAAGCAGATGACATACAGGAAGCCAGTGTAAAGACTTCAGAACTGGAGTGATGTGATCCACTTAGTGTTAGTGAGGACTCGAGCAGCAGCGTTCTGAATTAGGCGGTGAAGTCCATAGGGGCTTTGCTTGGCAACTGGAAGGTCACCAGTTCAAGTCCCGGCAAGATTAAGCGCTACCGAGGTGCGCAAGGCACCGTTCCCTACACTGCTCCCCGGGCGCCGTTCATAATGGCAGCCCACTGCTCCTAACATTAGGATGGGTCAAATGCAGAGAAACCATTTTGTTACGTAGTACCTGTACTGTGTAATGACAATAAAAGTGCAACAAGAAGGTGAGCGGATGGTATCTGCATGTGTGGTTCCCACCGTGAAGCATGGAGGAGGAAGTGTGATGGTGTGGGGGGGATTTTCTGTTGTCACTGTTGGTGATGTATTCAGAATTCTAGGCACACTTAGCAGCATGAATACCTCAACATTCTGCCAGCAAAATATAAATCATATTCTGGATTCTTTAACAATTGTTTTGTTTACTAAATAATTCCATATGTGTTCTTTTATAGTTTTGATGTATATTCAATATCTTCAGTATAAATCTACAATGTAGAACACATTAAAATGAATACAAAACTTTTAATGTGTGTCCAAACTTTTTAATGGTATACGTATCCAGAACACACATTGACGTAGGCCTATAGGCGAACTGGTACTCAAGACCACACTGGATCATTTCAGGACTTGAGCAGGCAGCTTTCCAGAATTCTCCCTCGAGGAAATTCCCCTTGCGCTTTGGACCTATTGATCCTGCCGACAACTTCGGACACAATGCAAATAAATGTGCTCTACAGTGGCATATACATATGTTATTTACATAGAGTACATTGAAAATAAATGATCTAATTTATTGGAAAGCTGTAGTAAGCAATTGTATTCACATTGTTCATCCTAACACTGTCAGTCCTGCACAACCCTCCAAATTCTGCGCATTGTTACTGCACATATTTCATTTTATTATATATATCTTTTTTATCATTGTTTTATTTGTATGTATATTTGTTTATTTATGCACCAGAAACACCAAGATAAATTCCTCTTTCAATTCTACTCGCACAATTTTTTTTATTGTTTTATGTGGTATATAACATGTTGCATTGTTGGAGGACCTTGGGACTCAAGAATTCCTTTGCCATTTCTACACTGTAGTTAGTGTGCATATGACATTAAAGCCTTTGAATCTTGAATCTTTGATTTTAATCTCTTATGTGTTAAAACCATAGGTTGAAACCTACTTGGCAATAAACATGTTTCTGATTTCTGATTCTGATTATTTGTATCTCTGATATAAACGAGTTGACAGATTCAACAGACATCAGGTAAGGTTTTCTACAGTTGGGGACCAAACAAAGGAAAACGTACTTTGCTTGGTTTTGACCTTTGTATATACCTAGGGGTTCGCGTACCCCCATTTGAGAACCACTGACCTAAACCATACATAAATGAATATATTTAAGCCAGATGCAAAACCAGCTGGAACAACATTTTCTACAACAGGAATCAGTGAAAAATACATTTAATATGTAATACTATAGAGCTTAAAAAGTAAACAAATCAAATAGTAAATTTTGCCCGATTTCCCAGGTTTTTACCATCAAATTTGCAAGTTTAAACATTAAATTGAGTTATTTAATGAAAAATGTATCTCAATTAACTTATTAATTCCTCTTTAACGTACACACATGCTTTCATGGAGGGCTGGAGAAAGCATGCTAGCTTCCAGCTGTGTCACCAAGCACTATCAGCAGAAACATATTTGTACATGTTTAAGTATACACACACAGGCCAATTGTAAGAAAATGGTAAGCTATAGCTAGTTAAAATAAATCTTTCTCCTGCAGTTCCTGTGCATGAGTGGGTGTGTGGGTGAACAATTATTCTCTGAGAAAACAATTCCTGTGATACACAATACTGTGCACCCAAGCAATGTAATGCATTGCCATTTATATACAGTAATACAGTTATATCATAAAGGACATTAGGAATACCATAAGATGATATAAACTTGATTCATCCTCGTAAGGAAAATTCAGGTGTTAGGGCTTTAACAGCAATAAGAATAAAATAAAAGATAAGTCAGATAAGAGGTTCACACAAGGAGATTTGAGAATAAAAATGTAACAGTTTAGATACAAAATAAGAAATGCTCCAAACAGGTCTGTGAATAAATGGATAACTTTTAGCTACTTAAGAAAAAGGTTAATTAGGGTTGCCAATTAATTACTACTCCTGCTTGTTCCAAGAAACACTTTCTATGGCTTATACAGGGCTCAACGCTAACTTTTAAAAGTGGTTGCCAGGCTGGCAACCAGGCATCAGCTTTTGGTTGCCAAAACTGAAAATACGGTTGCCATTTTTAGTCACCTTATATTTTAAACAATTAAGATACTATACAGTTATACATCAACTTAATAATGAACATGTGACACAAAAGAATGTTCAAATGCTTTACAATAATTAATTAACACAATTATTTGAAACTTAAGTGGTAGAACTAGGAAACTTGTCCACCCTCAATTCCTGGTATACAAAACACCAGTAGTGCAGCTGTTGTCATGTTCCTCACAGATCACTAGTTTCTTGGTCATCCGTTGTCTCCCTTTCAAATGTGGGTTTTCTTGACCTTTGTGCTGACCCCCACCATAGATCCACTGGCCCTTCAGCATTGAAGTCTTGGATTGGCCAGACTAATACATTTCTAATGTTAAATAAATGAAAACCATTCACAGTTAAGAATTATATATGAATTATTAATGCTGTGAATTACCTTTAATTCTGTCTAACTATATTTAAAACGTGTTACCTTTTTATAGAAGTGATTATGATTGTAGCCTATGCCAATATGTTCCTATGGTAAAGTTTCGTTTTGCACTTTTATTTTGGTAGTAATAAGATCGGGACTCTTATTTTGAAGGAACTTTTACCGGAAGTGAATGGAAAACATTCCTCTTTGTTTTTCGTTCGGGTTTTACCTTACGCTCCATCAGTTGAATCACTTTGAACATTCGTTTGAGAAGTTGAGGTGTTGGCTGAACTTTTTACCACGTGGTCATACAACTTGTTTTTGCTTTGCCATTTTGTTGTAAAACAAACACGGGGCGCACCGCGCACGCGAGTAAACGTGCATCGCTTTCTGGCTCCGTAATCACGCCGATGCACGTGCAGTTTAAGTATCAGGTTCCGACTGGTCACAACAAGAAATATCACTCTTAAAACAAATATGAACATTTATCTATTTTGGGGTGCACGTTTTGCTGTCCTTATTTCTTATGTTAAAAACTGGTTGCCACTGATGGCAACCAAAGGCCAAGAAGTGGTTGACATTTTTTCTGAATGGTTGCCAATGGCAAACTGGCAACCGTTACTGTCGAGCCCTGGGTTTATAGTTGGTTCATGGAAATTAAGGATTTTAAATCCTCTTAACAAATGTCAAGCTTATAGCACAAACAGTGTTTTATGGGCTACCTGGCAATTCTCCAGGTACCAGTCCACACTTGGTAATTCAAGAACTTGAACGGCGCTAGTTCGCCAGTCTCTGCGGACTAGGTTTATACAATCCTGCTGTAAATGGATAAAAGCACACAGATCCTCAATCTTATGAGTAGTAAAATGCTTTCGTACAATTATTAATAAGTTAATATCCTGTTGATTCAATACACTAGTAGACATGTTTTCCTTTTTATATTATTATTGGTGCATGTATTTCTTTGCATTTTCATGTGGCCCTTGCTCTGTTAATAATAATTGAAAAGGGTTAAGACTCGAGAGTTATTTTAAGAAGGTTTTCCGTTACAATTACTAATTTCCTGAAAACATTTTTAATAAAATAACTAGTAATCCCCATTTTAAAAAAGTAACCATAATCTGATCGCTTCTTTTTTATATAACTGTAAGGGAATACAGTAACAGTTACATTTGTTGGTATCCTTATAACCTACTCTACGCACTTCATGTATTCCATTACTTCCAAAGTCTGTAAATGAATAAAGAAAACTCCCAGTTTTCAATTGGCCATGTATATTCCTGTTATTCATAATTTACAAAATCATAATGTGTACTGTTTCCTAATGTCTTGAGTGTTAACTCTCTCTCGCGATATTTTACCAACGGGAACACAAGCGGAAGTAAATAGTCGTCATGGCATGTTAGCTGGAGAGGGGATAAAGTAGCAAGTTTAGCTTGTGTACGTCAATAAGTTCAACTTATATAAATACTTTACAATCTTACCGGTTAGCTGATCCGACGTAAATAAGTAATATATTACCCCCTTCTGCATTTCCATTGTAAATACATTACGAGAGTCGAGGAATCGTGCAGCACGTTTGTGGCCTGGAAAGACGCATGCTAGCGTAGCTAAGCTAGCCAACCCAAACGCGGCTGTTGAGCTAAGTCCACTGAAGTGGCTAGTTTCACTAGCTAATGCCGACTATCATTTTAATCATATAGACTCTACTTCGCCCCAGATAGTATTAATTCTGGCCGTCGTGGAGGGAAAGTTTGGTTGGATCTAAAATGATAATTGAAAACCTTGATGCCTTGAAAACATGGCTGTCTGAAACCCTCGAGCCCATGTAAGTACTGTTAGCGACACAGGTGTTTCCTTCACTCAGCTTGAACCATTATAGAGTTATAAGCTGATGCTTTTAGAAACAGACAATGTGAAATTTACATGTTATTTATTTGTGTTCGTTTGTGTCTTTTCTCTATTCCAGCTGTGATGCAGACCCTTCTGCCCTCGCCAAGTATGTTGTTGCTTTGGTGAAGAAAGACAAAAGTGAAAAGGAACTTAAAGCCCTTTGTATAGACCAGTTGGATGTATTTCTCCAGAAAGGTATTTCATCTCCCTGCTTCATGCAGGCTGTATTTTGGAAGCCTTGTTAAGTGTATTACCTGATCCAATGTGTGTTATTGTTCCTGTCTAATCTAATATATTCTCATGCATGTGCACTATCATTATCTTTCAGAGACACAGCCTTTTGTGGATAAGCTGTTTGAAGCCATTGACAACAAAAACTACCTCCCGCAGCCAGAGCCACCATCCACTCTGATCAAAGTTGAGAAAGACGAGCAGAAAAAAGATGAGGTATTACTGAGCGGAAAACTATTTAAAAAATACTGTTGTTGCATCACACATGAATAGAATAGTACAACACGATATAAAGTACCACACCTCTCATATAAGTGGCCATCAAAAATATTTATACAAAAGTTATAACAAAGTTACTTTTACTTTATTTAGACAAACCGAGAAGACGATCGGGAGAAGAAGGTTCCTCGCCGGGTGAATCACAGCCCACCGCAATCAAGCTCTCGTTACAGCAGGGATATCAGGTATGTGCAACTGCATGTTTCAACTTTCTCGATCTACTTGTCTTTTAACTCACTAATTCACCGCTTGTCGTGCCTTGTTTCCCTGAAGTTCAAGGAGAGGAGATGATCGCAAGAGAGACGACCGTTCCAGGAAGAGGGAATATGACCGCGTCCCACCAAGGAGGGACTCGTACAGAGATCGCTACAATCGCAGAAGAGGCCGCAGTCGCAGTTACAGTCGTAGCCGAAGCCGGAGCTGGAGCAAGGATCGAACCCGAGACAGAGAGAGAGATAGAATTCGTAGCAGGAGCCGGTCACAGAGCAGAACTCGGTCTAAAAGTAGAGGTAAGAACCTGGTTGATGGAGCTGAACTGGTCTACAGTTTTCTACACAGCACCAGCAAGGTCAATTTGTGTCTTTCATTTGAGAACATTGTTCTTCCACGAAAGAGCAATGACACCAAATCCTGGATTTTGAAATGCCTTTCTTTTACAATCTGCACTCTACTCAAAACTCACTCCATTCGAACTATGATCTGGTTTTCTGCTGACCTTCCAAAATGAATCTACTTAGATAAGAGATGACAAACAAGACAATACAATAATTATCTCCTGGATTCTATGTCTATATTATTTTCAGCTTTTTTGATCTGTAACAGTTATTAATGACTTACTGTATATGATGACGTATCAGCGTTGACCTGAGCATTTGGAACTGATAGAATTGAGTAGTGATGGCATCATGAGTGCATATTAGGAAAAGGAACAACAACCATATAAACAAGGTGTATACGTTTATAATGTTTATAATATTTTCTCACTTGTATGCAACTTTTGTCTTTTTGCAGAACGGGATTCGGGAAAGTTGAAGTTAGATCTGGCCCCGGTCCGGCCCGAGGGGGGGGATGGCTACACCCCAGCAGCCTTGGTTCCCACTGCAACCACCTCACACTTCCCCGTGCCAACACTGAGTAGCACCATTACAGTCATTGCCCCCACACATCACCATAGCAACAACACCACTGAAAGCTGGTCGGACTTCCGTCCTGGGCCTCCTGTGGATCGTGTCCTTTTCAACAGGGGCCCGCCCCCCCAACAGAGGAAACGCTGCCGGGACTATGATGGTAAGGAACGCTTATCAAATATTATCCATTAAAATCGATAAATTGTCTTTTTTTGATGTTGTTGTAGTTTGTGTGTTTGATGTTCTTCACTTGTTCGTCCTGTTTTCCAGAAAAGGGCTTCTGCATGAGAGGAGACATGTGTCCTTTTGACCATGGAAGTGACCCAGTGGTAGTGGAGGATGTCAATTTGCCCAATATGCTGCCCTTCCAACCTCCACCACTCCCAGGTGTGGACACCCCACCGCCTCCAGGCCTCCCCCCACCNCAAAAAACAGAACCTTGATAATTCTGTTCTCTCCAACTTTAGACCTATTTCTAAGCTTCCCTTCCTGTCTAAAGTCCTAGAGAAAGTGGTGTTAGCGCAACTGCAGTCGCACCTTGTTTTAAACTACATATCAGAGAAGTTTCAGTCTGGTTTTAAATCATGCCACAGCACAGAAACTGCTCTCCTAAGAGTTTTGAATGATCTTTTAACTGTTGATTCTGGGAATTATGCTGTGCTTGTGCTTTTAGATTTGTCTGCTGCTTTTGATCCCATTGACCACCAAATTATTTTATCACGCCTTGAACTGTGTTTTGGAATTAAAGGTAATGTCCTAAAATGGTGTCAATCCTATCTGTCAGAAAGGACCTTGTCTGTGCATCTTGGCCAGTATTCTTCAGCTGCAGCCCCACAAGCATATGGGGTCCCTCAA